GAGTGTCTGCCATGTGGCACTGCGGCAGAAGGGACCGACAGATTCAGAGTACAAACCACATCAATAAGGGTTTGCAACAACTGACAAAACTCCGCGAACGTTTGATTTTGCGGCTCCTGGGCAGATCTTTAATTTGTTTTTCCTTCTCCTACCCCTCACCATGGCTAATGGTTGTAACACCGGCGGCTGGGAGCTGAGCCATTTGGACCGGACTAAAGTGGCTGCAGGAACAAAAAAGGGACTAAAATAGGGATTTCAGATGAGTCACAATCAGTGGTAAATGACAGATCAAGCTGTTACTGCATTTCCTCTCGTGTTTCTGGAGGCATCTAAATATAAAGTGGTGAGCTGGAAGAAAGGGCTCTTTGGTCAACAAGCGGCTTCTCACCTTGCACAGCGACCGGCCCTGGCCCCCAAACCCCCAGCAAAGAGGTCGGGGAAGCCCAAAAACAACCAGCAAAGAGACCTGGGCAGCCTAAAAACCCCCAGCAAAGAGACCTGGGCAGCCCAAAAACCCCCAGCAAAGAGCTCGGGGGAGCAAAAACAACATGACAGATCAAGCTGTTACTGCATTTCCTCTCGTGTTTCTGGAGGCATCTAAATATAAAGTGGTGAGCTGGAAGAAAGGGCTCTTTGGTCAACAAGCGGCTTCTCACCTTGCACAGCGACCGGCCCTGGCCCCCAAACCCCCAGCAAAGAGGTCGGGGAAGCCCAAAAACAACCAGCAAAGAGACCTGGGCAGCCTAAAAAACCCCAGCAAAGAGACCTGGGCAGCCTAAAAACAACCAGCAAAGAGACCTGGGCAGCCTAAAAAACCCCCAGCAAAGAGACCTGGGCAGCCCAAAAACCCCCAGCAAAGAGACCTGGGCAGCCCAAAAACAACCAGCAAAGAGACCTGGGCAGCCCAGTTTGTACTTGGCTGGAGGCAGCAAGAGCACAGGGTACCACGCTCAGGAGCACAGGGTTTCAAGTGGCAACTCTCTACACAGAAATCTCACAGATATTTATGAGAGCACCACTTGGACAGCACTGCCCATTCGCTGGGCTTTACCAACACATCAGACCCCTACGCCAACCCAGCCTTCCCAAGACAGGGAGGGCACGGAGATAAGACCAGGCTAAATCCACCCAGGAGAAATGAAGCTGCTGATGACCCAGGAAATCAATAAATAACTGTCAGGACACGGCAGAGTCGGCAGGCACTGATCTGTCCCGTTTGGGTTATGAGGACAGAGCCCAAAGTGCGACATCAAGAGGCACAAGAGTGCGCTGAGCAGGACTGAGCGGTGCAGATCCAAGTCTGGGCTTTGGTCTTTGGCTTTTCCAGGAGCTCTTCATCCACGTTTCAACCAAGAAAATGTCAATACACAAAAAGCGAGTCTCTGCTCAGAAGAGGTTCGGTCTCCCAGCCATAACGGATGGAGATACAACGCTTGTGTGTCCTCTCCAGGCTTCTGACCATGCAGGTTTTATTTCTGCCATTGCCACGTCCATCCTGGGAGCTTCAATTTCCAGGGAAAGAAAAGGAGGAGGGGGAAGGAGAAAGAGCAAGAGAGGGAGAGACACAAAGAGCTGCAAGCTCAGAGAGGCAAACAGCCCCTGCCAGGCAACGTCAGCTGAGGAGTGCCCAGAGCTCTGCCTCCTTAAATAAGGATGGATGGGGAATCTGCACGGCTTGATTTCTGCTAAAGCCCTTGAAAGGCTGGGAAAGGAAAGGGAGAGACAGGGGGAGCAGGAGGGTACCCATCAGAACGCCCCGTGTCTCTGGTAACCACCTCCCTCGTGATGCAGCCACGGAGGAAAAACCCAACAACATTTTTTAGACATCTGAGCATCATGAAAACCAAATGTAAAGAGAGAACTGCGCCAGCACTGCTCCTCATTCGCTCGGCAGCCCTTGAGAAGGAGAGGGAATTTCTACAGAGGCATTGCAGGCTGGTGCTTGAAGGGTTCGCCCTTTCTTCTGCCATCCTGCCCCGCGTCGGTGGCGCTCGGATCCGATCGAGTGACACGTCTGACACGGCTCGTCCTAAAAACCCGCACGCCGAGGCAGCGGGGCAATGGGAGGCAGCAGAGGTGGCAGCAGGAACAGCAGCTTGATTTCAGCTGATGGGCTAAAAGGCAAAAAACATCCCCGAGATGCACGCAGAGAGCCGAGCAAGGGGGACGGGGTGTTAATCTGAGCAGACAGCTCTGTAATTAGTCAGACTGAGTCAACGCCAGCTAAATGGACCTTGCAGTATGGATTTATGTTTACAAAACAATTCCTCTCTGCTAGGAATGCAAAAGATAAATTGCCTGCCTTTACCGACGACTTCTGATTTTCCTGGCACGCACATAACTCTCAGTTCAATTTAACAGCAAGCGTCAAACCCCGGCCCTGGCCGAGGCCCCACAGCCGGGTCACCGAGATGGCGAAGAACAGAGCCCCGCTGGATGCAAAACGGAGCACACCAAGATGGTTTATTGGCTGTTCTTTGGTTTGCCAGGGTTTCTTGTTAATCCCTGGTAAAAATCACTGCAGTGTTTAAGCCCTGGTCTCCAGAAGGTGCAGTTCACTCTCCACCCAACACAGCAGCACCAATAGTGGTACCCAAGGCCTTGGCTGTCTGCTCCCCATCAGCATCAACTCCTGCCCTGTGAATGTGTCCCACGTTGCTCCTCTTCCCATGAGAGACACAGAGGGTCGAAGGGATGAGGAGAGCACCTGAAAGGCTGGTCACTGCCCAAACGCTGCCCTGGCAGCGCAGACACAGCCTGGTCCCTGGGGAACCACACAGCGGCGCTTCCTGGAGACCTGGCAGCCTGCGAGCTGGGTTCCCTGCACGGGGTTGCCCTGTGCTCCAGCTCCTGATGGTGACTGAAACTGCCCGGCATTGGCTTTTTAATGTTTCAGGCGGAGGCCG